AGGTTTGTACAGTGCTGGTGACACTCTTCCATTGGCTACCATTCCTCATAGAGTGCACGCTATGAGTACTGGTAGTCCATGGGGGAGTGCCATTGGTACTGTATAGATCTGTAGAGCTTATCATGCAATTGTGTATACATACATGAAGCCTCATACTTACTAGTAATATACACACAGAGCCTTTACATGTACTTAAATAGTAACATATACATACAGAGCCTCATACACACACGCCAATTTTTTTCTTTTTTTTTCTTTTTTCTGGGCAATGAAATAATTAACAAGGCTATTTTAAATACATGAATTCTTTTGTTAACTTTATGAAATATACACCACACACCAATTTTTTGGCGAATCAGAAATCAACTAAATTCTGAAATTAATTTTATTTCTAAAAAAATAAACATAAATAAGTTTTTGTATACAACAATAATGAGCCTCTTTAATGATATTTTCCAACAGCTGTTGCCTTTTTGAGAAGCTCTTGAATAAAATTCTAAAAAAATAATAATGAAAATGTAAAACAAAATAAGTCCAAGACAAAAATACATTACACTGCTGTTATGTATCAAGTAGTAACTATCAAATTTGCTTACCTCTGTTGGCAGTTTTGCATCTTTCAAATATTCCTAAAAATGAAATTAAAAAATAACTGTAAGGAAACTCTAATTGATTGCACATTATGATTGCATTTTAATTGAAATATCACTGCAATTAAAAAAATACTATTTTTAGTGATGCATCATTAGAAAACATTGCAAATATTTGCACATTAGTTCTTCTGTTTACAGCAAAAGATTAAACTTTCCCTATTCATCAAAATCAATTCAGTAATGAATAACACATATGAAGATAAGAATAAACAACAAGAAGCAATTGTCATAGAAAGAATAAACATAATTTAACACACATTATTATTATTTCAACACAAGCTGGAATGATGATGCTCTTTTATGAAAAGGTTGGCTCAAACAAAAAAGGTCAGCCAATTGTAAGGTAAACAAAGCATGCAAAATTGAATGCTTATACATGTATATACATGCATGTGCACATACCAGTACATGCAAGTGTATGTAACTTGATGGAAGTGTATATGAAGTGTCCTTTGTTTTGAAATTAACAAGAGTATAGTTTAGCTAGTTTCAATAATAACATGTCTCTTCTAACTACCTACCCTTAGCCTCTCCTCTCTTTTATCCGGATCAAACTGGAGGACATCATCAAGATCAAGCATAGGGTAATCATCATCCTGTAAGAGACAGAGGGGGAGAATAGCAGGGAAAGGATGACATAGAGCAAATGAGAGAAGCATGAAATGCAGAAATAAAATAGCTGGTTTTTTGGACAAAATCATGTAGTAAAGTATTCACATTTCATGTCATGTACATCTGCTGTCATTAAATAATTATCATAGTAGCAATTACAAATATCAAGGCACGCGGATTCACGTTACTACAAGCACAATATACGTATATACACACAAAAGACACAAAGAACTCACTTCGCAGTCAAATAGCACTTTCATTTGCTCGTCCATCCAGCTTTCTATCTCAAGCCTCTTCTGGACTGCCTCCCTGTCATAGCGCTGGGTAAGCTCTACCCTCCTCTTGGAGTGCTCAACTATTGCTCCACCAGGGACATCCTCAGAGAACTGGACGCGAGTAGGAGACACCATCTCTTCAGAGTTTTCAGCCATTGCAACAAATGAGCCACGCCCTTTAGAGCCACTCCTCTACAATACGTGGGTGTTGAGTTTAAGTCTGGGCATGCGCAGTAGGATTTTCTAGGCCACACCTTTTTAAAATGGAGGCATCTAGAGAGGTGAAAGAAATGTTATTCTTTTATTACTTGATTTTGTTATTTTTACAGAATGAAGGTGTGAAGATCGGAGGATGGACATACGAAGCTCCAAAGCACAAGAGGTATGTTATTAATGATTAATATTTTACTATTAACTGTTTTTGCAGCAAGAAAAATGCTCCCGATAATGATTTGACGTTTGAAATTGAAGAGTGAGGAAAAGTTATTGATTTTTATATTTTAATATTAATTAATTAGTGAGAGACTAAAGCAAGACAATGAGATTGAGGATTGTAAGTTGTACTTGAAAAATAATCCTCTTACATATTTAATTAATAATGAATGATGATAATTGGATAGTTATTGATAATATCCCTGATCTTGATGAAATGAATGAAGGAGACCTTGTCTCTCAAGTGGCTGCTCCCCCTAGGTACATACACACGTACATGTACTACATTACTGCTGTATATTCCAGTGCTGCAGTTCAACAGATCACCACTTATAAACAACTTGATAATGATCTTGCTAAACATGCAAGTCTTTTCACAATGGTGAGCATCTAGTGTGTACATCATTACCAAATGCATGTACATATATATGTATGCATCATTCATTATAATCATTTCTTTTTTAGGATGGGGAAATTGATTTAAAGGCTTTGGCACAAGTCATATCACCAGAATCAGAGATACAGGAGGTTAGAGTTCTCTGTATGATTTTAAAAATACAATTACTAAAACCATTACCATGTACATGTACCCAGATTTGAGGAACTTTAAGTTTTCCAAATTTAACTTTTGTGAGCCTAGCATAATGTACATGTACATGAATAAACTGCAATTTTGCAAGACTCGTTGCCCTTGAAATTTCCCAGCTACATGTACGTGTACATGTATATGCGGTACATGTACATGCACTAATTGATACATGATAGACTGATAGTGTACATGTCTTAAATGGCAAATGTATTTTGAGTGTTTTTGTGTGCAATTATGAGTTAATTTGTACATGTACATGTATATGTGAGGCATGTGGAGCATTTACTACCAACGTAATGGATCCTGTTCACATACATGTACATGTACATGCATTGATGTACATGTACAAATTTTTACTAATAATATTTATTATTATAATATTATTATTTATGTTGATTATACCAGTAAAAATAAACCTAGAATTGTCTTTTTTAAAAAACGAGGAGTGATCCTGGCCTTTAGGTATAATGAAATAAGCCTTTGCTTTAGTTTATCTCCTCCTCCTCCTCCTCTCTCTCTCTTGGTTTTTCCTGTTGCTCCCTCAACAATGATTAAGTATTAATTTCTTTCTCAGTAAACCCTAAGTCCCCACCTTTCCTTATCTTCCCTGGTCTTGTGGTAAGAGGAATACAATGAGACTATCAACCATAACTTGAGGTGTGCCTCCTCTCTTCCAACCACTAGTGTGCCCATTGACTTCTCGAAACCATAATATCTTCTCTGTCAAAAACAAATATTAAAATACCATGCTGTATATGTACATGTACATGGCCATGCTACCATTTAGTTTTTCAGGATACATGTACCCATTGTGCTCTGAAAGCCTCTTTAACTATAAAGTCAATATAATTATTATTACTCTGAATCTTTTACTATTATTGTTAGTTTTTAGATGTACACATTCATGCACTTGTACATGTATTTGTTTTATTGTGTGTACTGTGTACTGCAACTATAGGATGACAAGGTGTGGGAATGGGATAAACTCTTTGCCGAGGTGTCTCACGAGATTGAGAGTACCTGGAGACAGGACCAACCCCAGACGCTTGAAGGTTTGAGCAGTCCAAGTAACTCAAGTACTTTTTAGCGGACAAACCTCTCTCCCTTTTCTCCCCTCCCCCTCTCCCTCTCAACCAATCTCACTTTTAAGTTATCATCACACAGATGTACCCTTAATGTGGTACATTTGCACTATTTTATTTTTTAGCATTTTTCTTTACATGTACATGTACATGTATGTTATTCATAACTAAAGCATGAATTTATCATTAAATAATTATTTTAACTTAATATACTTTTAATAATAATATTACATTTATTGTACATTCATGTATGCTTAATGCGTACATCTAAATACATGTACGTGTACATATACAGGTGTGTTGATTTGTATATCTTACTATATCTACGTGTAATCTTGTTTTCACTCCAAAGTACAGCTGCCTAATTTTTTATCGCTTTCAGGAGCCTTGCTTCTACCATAAATAGTCATGTAGTTATACACAGCTATCTACTACATGTATTTGAAATAATATTCAAAATTTAAATGGTATTTGTACGGAAATGATTTTACTTGAATATGGTAGTTGCCGGAGTCTTGTTACCCTGGACTGTATTTGTCCAGATTGTGTCGTTGGACTAAAATGGCGTTAAGGAATGCACCACTATGCTTTAAGTGCTTCAGCAGTTGTCCTGATGCAGTGACTATAAATACTAATATATACAGTTTATTATTCTACAGTGAGAGAGAGAGGATGGTAAGAGAGCTCTGTCTCCTTTCTTTGCTCTTCTTGTCCTTGCTGCCTTCTGCTCAAAGCCTCCTCTGGTTTAATATTACCAGACCCTACGAGAGGGGGGCACTCTGTAATGACTTCACTCCAGCTGGGTATTTCATTCGTAGAAAACCCAGCAGCGATAAGTGGCTCATATTCCTGGAAGGAGGTGGTGGCTGTAACACTGTTACCAGATGTAATGAGAGATTCATAGACTCCAGAGTTAGGAAGGATTATACCAGCCTAAGCTCTGATGGTAGCTTCACTGTTGATGTGCTAAGGGCTTGGACTGACCACTCAAGTGATCCTCTCTCAGTGATGTCACCTCTAATGACGTCACTGTGGAGGTTCTCTTCAAGAAAAGGACGTAATTCAACCTCCTGGAGCATAGAAGGGAGGGACCTCCTCTCCATTGACCGTGGGTTAAACCCCAGTTTCTATGACTACAACCACGTCCTCGTCCCATACTGCAGCAGTGACGTTTGGCTAAGGTCAACTGATTTCAGTAATTATACACTCGGCTTCACTTTCGATCCACTTGCGACTGATAACCAGTTCACGTTCCGTGGTGCCATTATATACAAAAGTGTCATACATGATCTCTTTGTGTACCACGGTCTCCGTCGATCGGTTGAGGTTATACTGGCCGGTAGCAGTGCAGGCGGTATTGGAGCTATGTCACACGCACAATGGACACTGGACGAACTTGACTCAACCACTAAACTCTCATTGATTGTTGATTCCGCCTGGTTTATTGATTTTAAAAATACGATTGATGAACAATTTTCCGGAGAAATCGAGGCTGACCAAGAGAACAATACCTGCTCTAGCAAAGAAGGGGACAACCCTTCATTATGTGTATCAGCTCCTTACCTTATCACTAATCCCGATCTATTTCCTAACGTACCAATATTTGTCGTTTTCAGTCAATACGATCTATACATACTAGCTCTCTCTCTTGCCGACATTACAGTCGGTCCTGCTGGTATTATTGAGCTAATGCGTATTGTCTCAGAATATAGCGGCTCTATGGAGGCCACCAGGCAATATGCATCCCTGCATTTCGGGAATTTGAGTTATTACGTAACATCATGTTTTCATCATGTCTACTTTGCTACTAGTGAACTGTGGGGAGATGAGACTGCTATACTGGGTAATGAAGCTGTGGATGAGTCTTATAGAAACAACCGCTTTGTGTGAGTTTATTATTAATAGTAATAATTTGAATGTTATGTATAGCAGCTGTTTATTTATTATTGTTTAACTTATAGATATTGTGTGCATTATGTTCATGGTTTGGTTGTAGAGTCTGTTTTTTCAGTGACATATGATGTTAATGTGATGTTGAATTGTTGAAATGTCATTCTTGGATGTCATTATTCTGTTCCAGTACATCATCCCATGTTCTTGTTTTTACATGTTCATCGTAATGTAGTTTAGTTGTAGCCTCCATCTCTCCTCTTCTTTCTGGTATTTTGTCTTTTATTTACATTTCTTTCATTCTTCAATTCCATGGTAATTTGACTCAAAAATTTGACCATGACCATGGGCTCTTCAGTTTTGCTGAAAATGACTAGGAGAGAATTCTTCATTTTTATAATTTTTCCTGATACATATACATGTTTTTATGTTGTTTTTCAAGTTTGAGTTGATTCCGATCAATTTTGGTTTTTTTATGAATTTTTAAAGTTGCTCAAAAATTGGGCCAAAGTCCCTGTACTATAGTACAGGGTCACGAACCAAATTTTGCCAAAAATCACTTGGTGAGAATTCTCAATTTTTATAATTTTTTTTAATGCATATACATGTTTTTATGCTGAGTAGCAAATTTGAGCTGATTCCAATCAAAATTGGATTTATTACGAATTTTAAAAGTTTAAATAGCCATGTTTCTAATTGATTTGCGTGGGTGGTATAACTCATCAATAAGGCGTGTGCAGACAGGACTGTAGTATTGTTGTGAGCTAGGTATGAGCTTGATTAATAATAATTAATAATAAAAGCATGTTTGTTTGTGAATGTGCGTGTAGCAAATCCATTACATGTACATGTAATAGCATTCCGAAATTCCTTCACATAATGGCGATATGTACAGGAAATCAAGAAATATGCCAAAATCAGGGAGTGTTCAAGTCAGACTAATTCATAAGGTCAAGCCAGTTGTCCTTACATCAAAGGAAATAGCTACAAGTGTGTGCTCCATTGCAATTTGTACCCAGTTATTGCCAGTGTGTAGCGTTGGCCCTTTCATCTTTACTAATGACATGTCTTGTGTACACTGAGATCTGTTGGTAATTTGTATACTGTTCATTCCTAGAGCATTCCTTATCCTATTTAATATGAAGCTGCTACACTTAATGTATGTGTGTATGTACATGTATACATGTATATGTTTCTCTCCCTTTCCTTCTCTCTCTCCGTTGATCTGATCCATGTAATTTGTCAATATAACGAGTCATTGATTTGTTGTTAATGATGATTTGAATGTTTTGGTGGCCCGCGATTACTTGTGATGGTTGGAGCTAGTCTTGTGTGTCATTTTTTAGTAGAAAGTAACTTTGATATAATGATGATTTGAGTTCTTGTCATCTTATTTAGTTTAAAATTTATTTTGCTTTCTCTTTCTTCCCCTCCTCTCTCTCTTTCCCTCTCTTTTAGACACAAGGTAGAGAGCAACATATGGAGGACGTTTACTCTCTCTGGTACTAATACTAACACTACTTCTGTCACCATATCACAAGCCATACAAGAATGGCTTACAAAAAAGGACCACGGTCAAGTGGTCGGGTACACTGAATCATGTAATGGCCCACGTTGTAACCCTCTCTGTCCAGAGGACATAATCCTCGGCCAGCTCGGACCAGTCTGGGGTAGCAACATCCAGCTGGGTGTGTGTTTGATCGTAGTCATGGTCACAGTTCTTTCTTTATGCGTTAAACTCTCTTTCTTTGTTTGGTATAAAGTACTGCAAAGGAGGCAGAGGAAAGTCATTGAGAGTGAAGAAGTTGACCCCAACAAAGGACTGGAATCAAATGTAATTTACATAAATATGCATAGATACACACATCCATGTACATGTACATACTGTACTACATACCAAGTGTGCATACTACATGTACACACACACACACACACACACACACACACACACACACACACACACACACACACACACACACACACACACACACACACACACACACACACACACACACACACACACACTCACATACCTGTTATTATCAGCTAGTCATCTGTTTATTTCACACTTGTTGTTGCTGTTGTTTTCGTGCAGTTGCCAATATGTGAAGATAGAGATGCCATATCTGTATCCTGTCTGAACCTCAGGTATGACCTCCTTCTACTGTATAATCATGTACTGCATGAACAATAATGATATTCATTGTTGTACTTGTACATTGACCCAGCCCACATCCTTCACTGAGCATGCGACCCACAATGATATGAAGAGGTTTCTTGGGTATATAATGTCTCTGCAGTAGTTCATTACAATTGTGATGCATAATACTTTATAATAATAATAATCTTTTTAATTTTTGGAGGGACCCTGTGGTCCCAATCATGTTTTTAAGTTACAACTACATGCTGAAATAATGATGTGCACTAATATATGTCTATGTATACATGTATGTGAGAGTATTATTACATTAGTATCTAAAATATTATAATATTAGTTGCCTTTGTATTTATGCTTTATTTTAAGATATTCTGTGACTTTGAGTAAATCTGCCCTAAAGAAAAGTAGTGGTACTGATGCCCTCAACGCTCAGAGAGTCAAACGACTAATGTCAGTGTCAGCTGTAGTGAATGCCAGTTGTGTTGGAGGGGGCGGGGTAAAGGGGAGGGGTCGATACAGAGGACGGAGTGGAGCAGGTTCCGCTGATCCTGAGGCACCTGATGAACTGGAGGAAATTGAATTTGTTGGATCTGCTGAGAATAATGGTTGAGATTTTAATTTTTGAAAAAAAAATTATAAAGCTTTTTGCTTTCTCCCCCCTCTCTCTCTCTCTGTTAATCAGACATGTTGGATTCATTGCAAGAGTTTCAGAAAAGACACGAAGGGAAGCAAAAGAGAACAGGAAAGCTAAAACGGTACCTGTCAGAGAGGACAATCAAGAGCAGCAAGGGTAGCAGCAAAAAGAAGGAAATAATAAGAGGAATATCGGCTTATTTTAATCCAGGGGAGATGATAGCAGTCATGGGGCCATCAGGTAATGAACTGTACTCATACTTCCATGTATAAATTATATACATGTACTTGTACTTCCATTTATGTATTTGATAATAATACATGTACATGTACATGTACACACGTGGAGTTGAGCTCATATGCACAATCAGTGAGAAAGACGCTAAACTCTTAGCAGACATGTTTACCCTTCTTTCTCTCTCTCTCCATCCCTCCTCTTTGCAGGTTGTGGTAAAACAACGTTCATAGATCTCCTAGCCGGTCGTCAGAACCTTGGTTCTTACCATGGTAGGATAATAGTGAATGGTTGCCCGATAGAGAGAGTGAGGGATTGGTACGTCTCCCATACTGGGTATGTGCTCCAGCTGGCTAGTCCTTACTATGAGACACTCACAGTGAGAGAGAACCTGACACTTGCTGCTCAAATGAGGCTACCCAAGTCTTGCTCTATGAGCAACAAACTAATGAGAGTGGAACAGATATTAAGAGAAGTACAGAAACATTATTTTTATGAAATGAGCACATGTACATTCATATCTTGCACTTCTCCTTCTCTCTGTCCTCTCTCTCTTCTCTCCCTCTCTCTCTCTTCTCTCTCTCTTCTCCCCTCTTCTCTCTCTCTTCTCCCAGACTGGTCTCATTAGTTTAGCTAATACAGTTGTTGGTGCTAGCATTGGTCCAGGGCTGAGTGGAGGACAGAAGAGAAGACTATGTGTTGCTCTTCAGCTGCTCAATATGCCTAGCCTCATCTTCCTGGATGAGCCAACATCAGGTGAGAAGGAGAAAGAAGACTCTACATGTACTCTTTAATATTAACCATTGTCATACAGTGGCCTAATTCTTCTACTGGGCTGAGCCCCAAGAAGGTGAACTTTGGAGCAACTTAAAAAAATTTTTTTTAATCTAAATTTGATCAGAATTAGCTCAAAGTTGATACACAACATAAGAACATGTATATGTATCAGAAAAAAATTATTAAAATGGAGAATTCTCTCCTAGTCATTTTTGATGAAATTTGGCCAACGACCCTGTACTATAGTCTGATTTTGCAACAACTTTAACAATCCATTGACATGAAAGCTGCAGTTATTAATGATCTAATGTTATTTATTCGAGTCAGTGATTTTTTATTTGTACTTTTATAGGTCTTGATTCTTTATCATCACTTGAACTATTGACTCACTTGAATAACATTGCTGCATCTAATAGAACAGTAATACTGACCATCCATCAGCCTCGACTGGAGATATACCACATGTTCAGCCACATCATACTCCTCTGTCAAGGACAGGTAATAAATCCTCCTTCACATGTACAATTGTACATACTTTGCTTGTGTGTTGTTGTACACACCCATAATTATACAATTATACAATTGTTCCTTCATGCCAATATGCCCATTCATGTTTTTATATGTAAATTGCATGTAGCAAAGTCCCAAAGGTATTATAGGTCATGTTTTGTATCTAATACTAACAATAATAATGATAATGATAATAATAGTATGCATGTACATTGTATGTGTTTAATCTTATTCTGTTTGCACGAGTAGGTTGCATATCATGGCATACCTGATAATGCCTACCAGTTCTTTGTTACTGCTCACCTCAACGCCACACTCAACATAACAAGACTTAAAGAAATGGAGACAAAGAACCCAGCTGGTATATGACCTCCTCCTCCACCCTAGCTCTCCCTTTACTCACTGGCCACCTCTTCCTTCCTTTGTTTGTGTTACTTGTACTATCACTTGCCCACATCTCTTTTATGCATGTACACAAATGTACATTTATGTACACAATGAGTGATTGAATGAATGGCTGAGTAGTTCCTCCCTCCCCCTTATCCCCTTTCCCTCTCTCTCCCCCTCTCTCTCTCTTCTTCCCCAGATATGATAGTTGACATGTTAGCTAGTGAGGAGTCACGTATGGCCATATTGGATCATTATAAAAACACACAGGAGTCACAGAGGATAAAACAAGCCATCAATGAATGTGTGGCAGGAACAACTGATTCACATGGATACATGTACAAAGGATCGTAAGTACATGACACACACATGTATACAAATCAAGGAATTAAATGGAATATATGTATTCTCTCTTACATGTACATGTAGTTCTGAGAGACCCAGCCAGTTTGATCAGGTAGCTGCTCTCGAAGCCAGAGCTAAGAAGAAGTCTTCATTTGGTCACACGATATACCTACCAGTAATATTCTTCATGTATGGATTTCTATTAGGTCAGTAGTAGTCATGTGATTATCATGTGACATTCATATTACATGTATGTGTGTAGGCTCTGTGTTCCCTTCCACTGGTAATGCTACGTTCATTTTAACTGGTTTTGGTGTATTCTCTTGTGCTAGTGGCCTATTCATGTTTCCTGCTATATACAACTACCTCTACCAAGCAATGGAGGTTGGTATATACATGTACATGTACATGTACTGCATTACATGTACTTACATGTACTGCATTACATGTACTTACATGTACTGCATTACATGTACTTACATGCAGCAGATCAAAGCTAAGCAGTGTACGTTCCACTGGAAGCTAGTACTGTTATTTCATACAGTATTTAGTATAATAATTGCATGTCAGTCAGTCATTAGTATATGTACATGTACACTTGGTTGATTTATGATAATAGGGTACATGTACAGTATGTCACATATTGCTTCCTTATCTCTTATTTTATTTTTCTTAATTCTCTCTTTCACTTCTCTGTTTCCTCTCTCTCTACATTTATTTATTATTTATTTTTCTCAACTTTGCTTCCTTTCCATTACACATGTATACGTACATGTACTTTCAATTTTACCATCTTTTTCTTCTTTTCCTCCTTAAGATATTTTCTCTCGAGTATTCTGATGGCATTGGTCATACGTGGCAGCTGGTGTTTCAAACCTTCACTAGGTTTGTGAGCATATCAGCTGCTCCTGTCATCATTGGAGCCACTGCAGCTTACATCCTTGTGAGTCTTAGAGAAAGAGAAAGAGAGAGAAAGAGAGAAAGAGGGAGAGTGAGAGAGAGAGAGTCTGCTTGAGTATAATGAAAGCAATGCCTTTTAAAAGTAATGTCTTAACTCTCCTCCATTTCATTTCTCTTCTCTTTACAGATAATTCCTCACACTCAGTACAATATCATTGTCTTTTATCAAATTATAATCTTCAACCTTGTACTCAATCAGACCTGGATAGCTCTCCTCATCTGCATCATTACGGCTCTCCCTCAATATGCCCACAGGGTTTCTCCCGTCCTATCAGCCATCGCCGGGTTCGCTGGAGGGTTTTTCATTCCTCCCAGTCAGATGCCTAGATGGTAAGAACTACATGTACATGTACATGTTCAATGACATTACACTTGTTTGTGTGTGTGCATGTATGGTGAGGAATGACTATTAGCTTATAATTACTGATACATATATGCATGTACATGTACATACGTGTACTTAAGTACTACATAGCATAGTAAAATGTACATGTACATGTACATACATTTCAGCACAATGTACACATAAGGATTATACTTAGACCACATGTACATTAATGTAGTTAATTAGCATGTGCTGTATGAACATGGACACCTGGAGCTTCTCTCAAGTCAACACAAAATATCAATTACTAGCCAAGCCACCCATCAATGCTGCAGTATACCTCATGTTGACATTGGTACATGTACATGTACATATGTGAGTTGTCTTTTGGTTAGAGGGTAGCCCTTCACTTCTATGTCCTCCTGTGGCATGATCTTATGCAGGGTGTATGTATATGAGTAGTGAACACCTTCCTTTACAGCCACATTATGTATACTAACTGTATCACGCCATGTCACAGGCCTGCATATCTATGCCACTCGTATAGACTTAGTTGACAATATGTCACTGGCCTCCTCTCTTGGTTCACATTATGTCACTCTCATGCACTCATCCCCTCATTATTAATCCCAAGGTGTATGGCCCATTAGATCAACACAGACACAATCCTGTGTATTTAATTACCTTTATTATTCATTCACTCATTCCTGCCACACATGCACAGCCACACACATGTACACACACACACAAACCATAGATATTAGAGACTACGTAACCGTAGTCTATAAAATAGCCAAGAATAAATAGCCAAGTATATATAGTCTCTAATATCTATGCACACACACACACACACAATCATTATCATATTACATATTCTCCTTTATCATCATTACAGGTATTCTTGGCTATTTTATATCAATCCCAACTTTTATGGTTTTTCTGCTCTGATGCGTGTCATTCTCCCCAGCCTTTCCTTAGACTGTAGCTATGAGTCTTCACTTGAGTGTTATCCTACAACTGGGGAATACCTCCTCACCTACTTCAGTATGGATCAAGTCAATCCAATGCTACACGTGCTAGTGAGTCGCAATATTGCTAATATTAGCGTTTCACTGTGTAAATGAGTGTTTTTCAATTACACTGTACTCTTATAATATATTTTTTAATTTTGTGAATGCATGTACCATGCGTATGTACATGTACATGTACATATATGTAATGCGTACATTATGTGCATGTGAGTCTGTATGTATTGGTGTACATTAATTCCTATTGTTGTAGTTGCTGTTATTGATGAGTGCTATACTTCTCATTCTCTCTTGGGCTGCTCTATTCCTTCGTCATGCTAACACTAGCAGTTTTGTTAAGAGGATAAGGAACAGGTAAGAGAGGGAGAGGGAAGTGAATAATTTCTGATGTATTCAATGTTATTATTAATCTTTTTAAAGTGTAATAAGAATAATAATAATAATAAGTGAAGTCATTCTGGCATGACATATAAGATAGTGGCGTTAATTCTCAAAAACATTTTCTGTCTAGGAAAAACAAATCTTTTGTTTGTGTGTCTTCAAACGAGGCTCGGATCAAAGGAGATGAGGAGACTCAGGCAGAAACCAAACCGGACGATGAACAAGAAACTGAAGTACCCACTAACGACCCAAAACAAGCTGGTCCAAAAGTATTCGATCGTACAACATCCTCCAGTTCAATGCTACAAGAAGGCCAAGCTCATGAAGTGTGGGCTCCCGGGCGAAGGAAATCAGTAAATCGTGCTTCGTTCATCGGTCATAACAGTCTAGAGATGCGTAGAAAGTCCCTCCTCCAACGTGTCAATAGCATTTGCGTAGGACCTCCAGGAGAAGAGGGAAGGCTTGATAGGAAGCAAGGGAAGTCTCGAGTACCTAATAAAGAAACTCTTGAGTTACGGAGAATGCAATGGTCGCTTATCGAAGAGAAAGATGATGAAGGCAGTCAAATGAGTTCCGTCTCTTCGTCTGTGAGTAGCAGCTTTTTGGCTAAGACCCCGTCCATCATCGAAGAGGAGGAGGAGGACTCTGGCCCTGAGTCTGTCTTTCTTTCTACTAGCGACTCCTTTCGTCCCCCTCCTCTCCTCTCTAAGACCAGCAGTGTCTCGTATACAATGTACTCTATACAAGAGGAGGACCCTGACAGCGAAAGTAAGACCGTCATTAGTAACACTATCGCTGAAGAGGAAGAAGAAGAAGAAGAGCAACAAACAGAAGAGGAAGGAGAGAATGATCAAATGGAGAAAGGAGATGAGGGAGGGGATCAAGAAAAAGAGGGAGAGGAGCAAACAGCAGAGGAGACAGCGGAAAGAAAGGAGATAGTAGAAGAGGATAAGAAGTCCGAGTGTACAGCCCCTCAAGTACACGTACCAAAAGAGGATGAGAGTGAATCCATTACTTATGTCCCTCAGTCTCTTTCAAAGCGGCCCTTACAGATGTTGGTCATTCCAGCTGCTTCAAAGCGAAGAAGCGACAAATTTGTAACTAAACTTGACAATTCTCTGAGTCCTTTGGGGAGTCCTTCCAAGGCCCCTTTGGAATCAGACTTGCAAGCTTTAGAGACTGAGATATAAATTGGTAATAATGATCACACTATGCCTTTCATCATTGACCTCTATCTCTCTCTCTCTCTTTAATAGAATATGAATATTAAGGCACTAGGTCTGTGAGTCAACGTCTATAGTAGACTGTAGTAGTTATAGTAAACAAACAAACAAGTTATTTATTATTTATTTATTTATTCATTTATTTTATTAGTAGTTTGAATGAGATGATGTATAGGCTATTGTTCGCATATGAAGCTCCCGTGAAGCTATAAAGATAATGATTAGATTTGATCCTTATACTCTTAATTTAACTAACCTTTCCTCTAACAGGCTCGTTGGGGTCCTTGCGACAGTTGTATTGATGCTTGAAAGAGATATGCTCTTTGAGATTCTTCCTGTTGCTAGTCCCTTCTTTTGGGTCTGCAGACAGAGAGTAATGAGAGAACATTAAAGTGCGTGAGAGGCAGGATTTGATGCCAACCTGACAGTAGTTCCTGTACTATTGTCTTTGGTGCTTTATGGAATTTTGGTTTAATCGCTGGTGCTGAGATACTGTATTATGCATTCAAGGCGTCTTAATTAATGTATTTTATTTGTTGTCTCACCTTGTGTCTTTGCTATCCTTTCTTTCTGTATCTTTGCTTTTTTCTACATGTGGCCATTGCATGCATTCTGGTGCACTTGCATCGCAATCGAGAGAATAGTTAATGTTGCATATTGGTGCATTTATGAAGCGAGGGTTTTGTCTGAGGAACCTGGCATGGATTCCTCTCACGTTTTGTCTCCTGGGTCCCTCCATCCTGCTTTGTGACTCTGTCTGCCAAGTGTGTTTTCTGTGGCCCATGGCAACGCGAACTCGTACGTTCGGCGCTGTGTATTATTCGACCAATTAGATTACTCCATAATTAGGCTTGCGGGAATTTCGAACATTCAAAGGTACACCGGAGACGCAACAATCATATTCATCTTCCCAAAGCATGTCAAAGATATTGGAAAACCGCAAAGTATCCACTTAAAGAAACATTCCTCCTTGAAGCCGCTCAAATAACTACTTTTGTGCTGCCCCGAAAACGCCCGAGAGCT